CGTCACAAAGAACATACGGCTGTGTGAAGTCACCCGTTGCATATGATCAAGACCAATGTTCACATTTATTAATTTACTTACCTCGTCGTGCGTAGCAGGCCGTTGCGTATAAACACAATTCTCACATTCTCTCTTTTTACTTACCTCGTTAGTCACGTTGAGATCAGCCTGGTTCTTAATGAGCAGCTCCACAACTTTGACACGACCCCCTGCTACACGCTACATGCAGACCTGTGTCTCCGTTCTGTAACACAACAATAAAGCAAAGGTCACAAAGAAGATATGGTTGTGTGTAGTCGGCCGTTACATCTGTACAAACCCAATGTTCACATTTGTTCCTTTACTTACCTTGTTAGCCACGTTGAGATCAGCCTGGTTCTTAATGAGCAGCTCCACAACTTTGACATGACCCTCTCTACACGCTACATGCAGACCTGTGTCTCCGTTCTGTAACACAACAGTTAAAGCAAAGGTCACAAAGAACATACGGCTGTGTGAAGTCAGCCGTTGCATATGATCAAGACCAATGTTCACATTTATTAATTTACTTACCTCGTCGTGCGTAGCAGGCCGTTGCATCTGTACAAAGTACTACAAACATATAGTTTTATTTGTTTACTTATCACATACCCTGTCAGTCACGTTGAGATCAGCCTGGTTCTTAATGAGCAGCTCCGCAACCTCATCATGACCCCCGCTACACGCTACATGCAGAAGTGTGACTCCGAACTGTAACACAACAGTTAAAGCAAAGGTCACATAAAAGAGTTGTGTGAAGTCGGTCACTGCATCTGTACAAACACAAATGTTCACATTCTCTCATGTACTTATATTTATTAGTCACGTTGAGATCAGCCTGGTTGTGAATGAGCAGATCTACAATTTCGTAATGACCACCCCTACACCCCATATGTCACAGAGCGGAATGTGCAGAATTATTTCATCCATAATTCTGCAAATGACTCGCATTTACATGATCTATGCCATGTATAGTGATGGTCACATGTTACTAAGTCACACATGTCTCATGTATGAAATAACCACCATTTACCAGTAATGGTATTTTCCTATCACATGTGAAATTAGGCCCTAAAACTCACCTGTCACACAAAAATCATGACCATAGCATGTCCCGGACAAAAATCGGTAGTTTTACTGCAGTACCAAGGACAGTCCCTATAGAATTTATAAAACTTTCGCCAACTTACCCAGCCGAGATAAGGGTGAGTTTGTAACCCCATGTTGACGTCCATCCCTTTCTCCAGCTCCCTCCTCACAGTCTCTACATCTCCATCCCATACAGCCCGGAAGAACTGCTCCTCGTCCATGACCGGATCTCTTACTGCATGTCATAGTTTACAGGAATATAGACAGAAGTTATAAAACTTATCAATTAAACCCACAATCCGCCAATTTGATAACTTGTAAAAGAGGAACTTTACTATCGTTAACGACCGTTTTGTGCAACCCTTGAAAATACTTTAGCAATAGATCGTAAAGGCAAGGCTTCCGCTATATAAAGGCTACCTTCCAATACCACAACATGAATCTTGCACATATCGCGCTTTCCACGCCATGTTGTTCCTCTCCGTTCGATGGAACATTCCATATTGTTATATGCTTTATGAAAATATCTGCACACACACACACACAGACACAAACACACACACACATACAGACACACAGACACAAACACACACACACACACACACACACACACACACACACACACACACACACACACACACACACACACACACACACACACACACACACACACACACACACACACACACACACACACACACACACACACACACATACAGACACACAGACACAAACACACACACATACACACACACACACACACACACACACACACACACACAGACACACACACACACACACACACACACACACACACACACACATACAGACACACAGACACAAACACACACACACATACACACACACACACGTAGACACGCACACACACAAACACACACACACACACACACACACACACACACACACACACACACACACACACAAAGACACACACATAAATACACTAGCACACACGCGCACACGCACGAAAAATCACACATACGAGCAAACACACACACACACACACCGCTTTGCAAGTAGCAGGGAAAACAATGATTGTTTAGATTGTACACTAGTAACTAAATGTAAACATTACTTTGGCGAGTTTGTTGCGTGATATAATTAATCACAATTGATTGTAAGGCAACGTGCCCGTTTTATTTGCTCACACTGTCGGAAAGTCACAGTTGTCATATCAAGGAGTTTAACTTGATTTTTAATCTCCTTCATCAGTAGCTGTAGTGATCCCTCAATTGTCAAGCTTAAGACTTGAATCGAGGAAAGTAGGTTTTCAACCCGACGTTCGCCCCGCTAGTTCCCGACTTTGAGTCTAGGCTCGCAAAAAAATCCACAGTAAATTTCATTTTATAAGCAGGGCTAATTTCAGTATATTATGTGACAAACTAATTCATAATCGTGGCTAGCCTTATGTGCACTATGTGTAATCTCCAAGCAGATCCTTGGGTGGCGGCAATACAGTATCAAGTTGGCAAGACAGTATCCAATGTGCCTCCCAAGTGGGGAGGCAGATGGTTACAGGCGGCCAAAATACTACCTGTATACAAACTCCCCAGAAAATCTCCTTGGATATTAGACTTCATGTAACAGTAACAGCAGGAAAGGCGGTGAAGCAAATAAATTTGTGACATGTACCTAGCAGTGTGCGTTCAAAATGGCTGCGACTTTTCCGACTCGAACAAGGAGCGACGGAGGACACGCGGTGGTACATGTACCTTGACCTTGCAGGCCCCAATGAACCGTCCAAGACACGCGTTAAATACCACAAACGTACCACAAACGTTCCTCCCAGTACCACACGGTACTGGGAGGAATACTGGGCTGTAAAGAGAGAAAAGCTGCGTTTTGAAAGGCCGTCCGCCTGACAGGTGTGAAAAGTGCCGCGGTGGCAATGCCCAAGTCCGTTAAGATGGACTTTAGCATGTAACCGAAATAACGGACCAACCAGTTGAAACTTTTATCGACATCTTGTGACCGAACGTTTTGTGTCACGTGATAATGGCACTCGGTATCATGCACTGATTGGCTAATCAATGTCACGTGCTGTATACACGTAGGTAATTATTCTCTCGTCATGATGCTATTTTTAATAACTACTAGTTTCCCCACCTACTCTTGTTTGCTAGGGATCGATTTTGTATAACGCAATGGTATACACTCGTCTAGTAGCATAATATGGGCAATCTGGAGCTTTATATCAATTTTCTGGAATGTGGAAGAGTTACCGACAGAAACTGCATGGAAGTACTCAGGAAATGAAAATAACCACAGAAAATGGAATAAACAGTGTCCCTGTCGGCCACAATAGGCCCAATTTCCTACAAAGCTATACATGAACCAAAAAGCAGTTATTCAAGCGACTGGATATGGTTTTGACCGTTTCCAAAATCAAAATCATTGACTATCGTTTACGATCGCTTTGTGCAACAAATTATAAAAGCTCCCGCCATATCCATGTTTCCGATATCACAAGATTAATCTTGCACACACCGCTTTCCACACAACGTTGTTTTGTCTGTTCGATGACCCATATATTCCACATTGTTATTATCATGAGATAAATGCTTTATAAGTATACATGTACACACACACACACACACACACACACACACACACACACACACACACACACACACACACACACACACACACACACACACACACACACACACACACACACACACACACCTCTGCACACCGTATTGCCATTAGCAGGAAAAACAAATCTTGTTTTATTGTGCACTAGTGGCTAAATGTAAACATTACTTGGGCGAATTTGTTGCATATACCGCGTTGATAAAAGAAATAAAGTCAGGAAAACGTACCTGTTTTATATATGGTCGCACTGTCGGAAAGCCACAGTTGTCATATCAAGGAATTTGGCTTGATTTTAACCTCCTTGGTGAGTTATACTCCAGTCAAAGTCCTGCCTGGGCAGTTCTCATAGCTGTAGTGATCCCTTAATGCTCATACAAGAGAGGCGTCAATCGGCGTCAATCGGTTTCAACCCGATGCCCGTTCTGTTTATTTATACTTTGATGCAAGCCTCGTAGTAATTACATCATAGGTTTATCTTTTTATTCAATATATAAAATGGCGTTTGCAGCAGGAAGAGCGGCGACACAGATATATGTCCGTTATGTACCTACATGTTGGAGTCTGCGTTCAAAATGGCTGCGGAGTTTTCCGAATTGAACAAGGAGCGACGGAGGACGCGCGTTGTAAGCTCAAAGGAACCGTCCAAGACACGCGTTATAACTGCCACAAGAGTACACGACACAGAACTGGAAGGAATATTGTGCTGTACAACGACAGAAGCTGCGATTTGAAAGGCCGTCCGGGGTGCAAGGTGCCGCGGCGGCAGTGCCCAAGTCCGTTAAGATGGACTTTAACATGTAACCGAAATAACGGACCAACCAGTGTAAACTTTTATCGACATCTTGTGACCGAACGTTTTGTGTCACGTGATAATGGCACTCGGTATTATGCAATGATTGGCTAATCAATGTCACATGCTGTGTACCTGTACGTACTTTTTCTCTCGTCATGATGCTATTTTTAACCACCTGTTCCCCACCGCCTCTTGTTTACCAAGGATCGATTTTGTATGAGGCGATGGTATACACCCGTCTAGTAGCAGAATATGGGCAATCTGGAGCTTTATATCAATTTTCCGGAACGTGCACACAAAATGGAAGCACTCAAAGGTGAAAATACCCGCAGAAACTGGAATAAATAACAGCGTCCCTGCCCAACGCATTAGGCCCTTTATCCATAAAGTCCTGCAGAGCTATACATACATTCTTACCAAGCAGATGTGAAACGTATGCTATGGAAATCCCCGAGAAAGTTACGATATACCTCCCACCATCTGCTTGTTTTTTATAATCTCCAATCAGACCATACGGTGACAAGGCAGTATCCAGCATCCATTGGCCAGAGGAGTGTCTATTAGCCACTCAAGATCTGCCAGCAGTCAAATATTGGCTAATGGCCACTCCAATGGCCAATGGATACTGCCTAGCCACCGTATGATCTGCTTGGAGATTAGCTGTGACCACTTCTGCTATCAGCTGACCACAAAATCACGTTTTGACGTATAGCAGAAGAAATAGAATGAAGCAAATTTGAGGGAAGACAATAAGTAGGAATAGAATATGGACCGTATGGAGTCCATTCTGAAAATAAGTTACTGATTGAGTCTGATGAATCAAGGCCATATTTAGAGGCAGGGATTTCTTTATTGCGCAATGCTGAATAAAACATACCTTACAACATCAACCATGCCCAGAATTGTCCAAACTAGTACAGACTAACAGAACATTGACTGTCCTTTTGCTTTTTTGACGGACATTAATTGCTATTTTGTGGTCAAAAAATCATTGAGAATTTAATATTGACAGTGCAGAACTCTACAAACATACTGTGCTTGGACTTTGAACACGTATACTAGTAACAAAGTAAAAAAGTTTGTATAACACGAATTTGGATAAGGCTATATCAAAGAGGTACATGTATGCCACCATAACATTAATACTGGATTCAACTACATGCTTAGCAAAAGATTACATACTTTCATAGCTTGAAAGAAACATATTAGTGTTCTTGGCCCCAAATCAATGTATGAATAGACTGAACAGAATTACTCTTAGACTACTAACAAGTTGTATGTACGTGTATCAGTGTCTGGCTCTTCAGAAACCAACTAAACATGGAAATGTAGGTATGACTATGGTTATATCAAAGAAGTACATGTGTGGCATCATAACATTAATACTGGATTCAACTACATGCTAAGGAGAAAGTGAAGATTACAACATACTTACATAGATTGAAAGAAACATATTATTGTACTTGGCCCAAATCAATGTATGAATAGGCTGAACAGAAATAACAAGGTACGTGTACCTGTATTAGTGTTTGGCTCATCAGAAACCAACTACACATGGAAATGTCAGTTACTGTTTGTACTTTCTAATGGTGTTTTCATACATGTATATAAAGACCCTGGAATATTCAGGACAGTGATTCTTAACTGAATTGAAGAAGCTCTACCAATATATACAGATATATACAGTTTTAAGAAGCCTGGTTAGTCAGAATCTAACGATTAAGGCCTAGTAACGCTTGTACATGTTGTATGACTTCTTTGTCATGTCGTAGGCTACAACAAAATTGACAGTCTATAATAATCTGTGGTATCTGTTTCCATCTTAACATAGCTGAATTTTGCACCAAGAACTTAAAATGTGCTTTAGCAAACGCATTGTACGATGTAGGTGACCCTCACCAAGGTGCAGCCATGCTGCTTACATGTTATGTTAAACACTTGTGCTGTTTGGGTCTAAAAACAGTGTCTTCTATATCCGCACGTAGGCCTCTGTCCATAGACTTTTAAAAGGGATCAAATACCAACGAAAGACCAGTGTGGCAGTTATGTATTAATTGCCATATATGGTCATCTAAAAGGTTTGGCAAAGATAACTTTTACGATCCAGAATCAGGAACACGTGGATGTGACCAGGTGATGCTTACTTAACATGTGGCCTTAGATCAGGTGATGTTTACTTTTAAGTGCCGTAACCTACTTGCTAAGGTCAGAACTGGTTTGTCTACTTAAACTCTTAACAACTGAAGACACACACCTGCTTTAACAAGGAAGTGCAAAACTGGATATTAAATTACAAGAATTTCAATTTGCGTACACAATACATTGAACGAAAAAATCTTAAGAAGTTTCACCAAATTTCTTTATATCGGAATGAGAACTAAACTGTCCAACTACCTGTGGTTATAATGCACCAATGGAAAATGCTTCTTTAAGTTTCCTGTTGCTTTGCGGAAGGTTTGTATCAACATGTATCAACTTTGATATCTACATCTGGGGAACAAGATATTCTTAGGTGGAGGCAACCAAATATTTTCATCAACAACCCCTCTATTCTTTTCATATCTAAAAGTAATGCAAATGTATAATGTTCCATGATTAACAATTTGCTATTTACACTGCTAAAAATATGATACAACGGCTATTTCCAGATTATTCCAAGGAGGTTAAACACCTTGCTTGATCAAACTGGCTGTATAGCTAATCACCAAGACAGTATCAAATTGGCAAGGCAGTATCCATTAGCCAGACAGTATCCATGTGCTACCCACACTTGGGTGACTAATGGACACTCCTCTGGCCAATGGATACTGCCTTGCCACCATATGATCTGCTTGGAGATAAGCTGTTGCCTCTTTCGCATGCATTTCTATTCCAAGAGGGTGGCAGCAAACTGGTCAACTTGTTTCAAAGCCTTGTAAAACCCGGTGCATGCCTGTTCACCTTTGGCCTCTAGAATGTCCAGCAGCTCGCGCGCTGCATCCTGGGGAGTCCTGGCAGTCCGGATGCGGTCGTTCTCCTCCAGGCTGATGACGTCATCGGCGCGAAGGTGGTCCAGGACGGGGCTGATGTGACGCAGGGTCTCCACCAGCTTCGGACGCTCCCGTGCTACTCTTCCCAGCATGCCTGTAGTATTATAAAAGGTAAGCATTCGTAAAAGTCATTCCTCGAGCTTTTATGTGTCTTCCTGGAATTAGGGAATATTGTGATCATTGCAAGTAGGAGGAAAGTTTTACACATGATGTCATGAACATCGGTTTAAAGATCAGAAGGTAAAGACTAATTAAATTGGAATCTTATGGTGTGGGCTTTATTTTAGGCCTTTCATCAACACAACCATGTATCTCATCCTATATTTGGCAATCCCAAATTGAAGCCCTGTGTTAGAACTTGATACGTACCTTTCAGTTTTCCGAGGTGCAACAGGAGGTCCTTGACCTTTTCTGGGACTTTCCTCTGAGGATGGACGACGTTCTCTCCCTTTGCTGCTGCTTCCTCCACCTCTTCCCTGCTGTAGGCGTGAGGCTGCGGACTGTGTTCCCGGAGGTCCAGGGCGCTGAGCACCATGTCTTGTGACCTGGCTCCTGGGCTGGTCTCGTGCAGGAGTTTGTACGCCATGTCTGTCAGGACGTCCATGATGGAGTTGCAGTCCTCCCTGTCGCCATCGTTGCTCCTGACGAAGATGTTGAGCCGCCTCTTGTCTTGTGAGATCTGCAGCAGGGCCTCGGCCTTCCCGTCGGTACATTTGGCGCTCTTCTTCCACAGTAGAGGTTTGTCGAGCTTGTCTGGGTGTGCCTGCATCAGCAGCGTCTGCAGCCGGGGGAACAGGTCGCACGAGAAGCTGTCAATCTCCGTGCGGCAGCGGATCTGCATCCCGAAGTAGACAGCCTTGCCGGACACAGGAGACCACGCCCTCTCGTCCATCTCCTGTTGCAGCAGGCTGGGGAGGATGAAGGTGTGACCGTCGAACGTGTGGCAGAGCTGGAAGTCATGCAGCAGCTTGATGAGCAGAGGGATGTCGGCAACGGCGCCGAAGACCCGCTTGAGTTCCTCATAGGTGACGTGATCTTCGGCAGTTCGCTGAATGTTGTCGATGGGGAAGTTGTCAGGAGCCAGGAGAATGCCAAATACGGACGTGTACAACCACTGGGGGGACAAAACTACCACAGCAGTGGCATCGCCGCGAAGGTAGATAATCTGAAGTTAGAAAAAGGAGAAAATTACATTTAAATGCATTTTCGTTACACATTAGTTCACAAATATATGGCTTAAATCTTTTTACCATACATAAGTAATAGCGTTTGAAGATTTACCTCTCCAATATCATGCAGGTATGATGACGCGAGCTGTACAGTTCTCTCTGCTAGGCTGACGGGTGTATCTTGTCGAACAATTGCCAGATACTCCTTCCACTGCAGTACCGGGAACGTCTGTCTGTCCTCCCTCCAGCGTGCCAGGTTGGACATCAGCTGCACACAGACCTTGGGAACTGCCTGTCGGTCCTGTATGGTTTTGTCAAGTGGCAAAGAACAAATATGCAGAAGCTTTGGATTTTTAAGTGTTTCTCTAATTTGAATGTTCAACCTCTTTAAATGCCAATGAATGTGTATACTCTTTAAGTTGTTTACCTGCAGCATTTCCTCCTTCAAAGTAGCAAGCACGTGTCGTAGCCGTTCGATGTCAGCTGACCCCGCTTTCAGGCAATTCATGAGGAACACCTCCGGTGACACCACCAGCGCCCCTTCGAACAGTTTCCTGTAGTGTTCTACCATGGCTTCAGCGCGGCGGAGACCTGCACGTTTGGGCATAAAAAGGTAACACTTCGGTTATGTAGCATCTAGGTTATGTAGAGCAGAAGGAAAATGACTAACGTTACGATGACGCCGATGCGTTACGTTACCTCTTGTCTTATCTTGTAGCTTGTCAGCATGGCTGGCGATCAAGACGATCCGGGGGCATGTTGGTGGGATCTGGGTTACTGCAGTTGATGAAACTTAGCCAACCATGGACCTAGAAAAATATGTAATGTTTAGAGTTAATACTTGCTACATATCTTCGCCGTCACTTGCATCAAAATGGTTCCAGTATGAGGCAGTGGAGCTTGAAAATATGAACATAGAACGGGTGAAGGTACACCGACCTGGTTTAGGATTTTGAATAAAATGTTTTATATCTTAAGGTATAGAACATCATGTTAATGAGTTATGTGAAAACAGCAAGAAAAGTGACCAAAAGTCTGCATGCCTGACGTTCCTGTTCCTCCTCCCCATCTGTGATTTTATAGACGACCGGGAAGATGGCGTTTGTTGTACGGAGCAGCATGGCGTGTGTGACGTAGAACTGCGCCTGTCCTGCGAAGTCATGCAGACTCAGTCTCCCGATCCCCTCCACGTGTTTACGTGACACGTGCACTCCTGGGGTGGGGTTGAACTCTTCCTTTCTGAACATCATTCGGATGTTCCACAGAACGGTCAGGAAGAAACCGGTCTGGAATAAGTAAATGACTTGTAAGAAGTAAATGAATAAAGCCATTGTTTTTTCTCAGTCTCAGTGTATCTTTCGAAATTATAGTTCTAGAATTATTGTTATGGAAACGGTAAAAGATTGTTGACACATAGTAGTTCTGCTCAGTGATTCATTTGGCATTAAAATTGGATGCTTCAACATAAGCTGTTAACGTGAAGAGTGTTTGGGGCCATCCCTACCTTTTCTAGAATGGCCCTTAAGGATGTTTTCCCGACCTGCCCGTCTCCAGAGAGAAATAGCTTGACTGTTGTTTCTTCTTCAGACCCCAGAGAGGAGACCAGCTCGCCGTACTCTGCCTGCTTCCGCGTTTCTGTCTGCGAGTTCATGATATATTAATGATCATACAACTTAACATAAAGATGTCGAAGTTGCGAAGAAGCATATTAAGCTTTTCACATTGCGTTAGAACATTCTTTTTACATATCATAATACAGTATAGATGAAAGAAATTAGAATCAGTTTCTGAATGACGATTTGTTTTTCCTCGAGTTAGACTAGCTACTTCTGACATCGGGCTCTCCAGAAACGCGACGTTAGCCAATGATATCCCCAAAACATCTGTATCGAAACGAGTTCCCAACCCAGGCTACCAACTACCTACAATGTTTCAGACACCATATATGTGTTGAGGTAAAATACTACCAGCGTTTCCTGGCATCGAATGGCGGACCATTTACGCCCTGTGCCTAAATAACTTACTTCTACCAATAATCTTGTACTTTCGTGCAGCCGTGTAGTGACGTCAACCGGGCGTTTGTCATCCTGAAACCAGAAAACAGTTTTAAAAGCTTAAAAGCAGAGAGGTTTATATCATGGCAAAGCACAGCCGCGCATTGATTGCAGAAAAAAAAGATTTACATTTTCAAGACTTATTTTATGTATAGCATGGGTAGTCTATTTAATTGCCGGGGCTCCCATACTCCCTCCCTTAAGTATTCTAGTATTAGGGAGTGAGTATGGGAGCCATAGCATTCAAATAGGATGGCACCCAGGCCGATACAAAGTGACTAATTACGTGACAAAGTGACTAATTACTCATCTTCGTTTTTTCGATTATGTTATTCAGGTTGATTATGTTTAAATTTCTTACCTTGTTAGTAATCAGAAGATCGACTCGGTTCCTGATCAGCAGCTCCACAACCTTATCATGACCCCTGCTACACGCTTCATGCAGACCTGTGTCTCCGGTCTGTAACACAGCAGTTAAAAGCAAAAGTAAGTCAAAGAAGATACGACTGTGTGAAGTCGGCAGGTACATCTGTACAAACCCGTTCAAAGTTCACATTTGTTCTTTTACTTACCCAGTTAGTCACGTTGAGATCAGCCTGATTCTTAATGAGCAGCTCCACAACCTTACCACGGCCCCATCTACACGCTTCATGTAGACCTGTGTCTCTGATCTGTAACACAACAGTTAAAGCAAAGGTTACCAAGAAGATACGACTGTGTGAAGTCGGCAGGTACATCTGTACAAACCCGTTCAAAGTTCACATTTGTTCTTTTACTTACCACGTTAGTCACGTTGAGATCAGCCTGGTTCTTAATGAGCAGCTCCACAACCTTATCACGGCCCTCTCTACACGCTACATGCAGAAGTGTGTCTCCGTACTGCAACACGACAGTTAAAGCAAACGTCACAAAGAACATACGGCTGTGTGAAGTCACCCGTTGCATATGATCAAGACCAATGTTCACATTTATTAATTTACTTACCTCGTCGTGCGTAGCAGGCCGTTGCGTATAAACACAATTCTCACATTCTCTCTTTTACTTACCACGTTAGTCACGTTGAGATCAGCCTGGTTCTTAATGAGCAGCTCCACAACTTTGACATGACCCCTGCTACACGCTACATGCAGACCTGTGTCTCCGTTCTGTAACACAACAATAAAGCAAAGGTCACAAAGAAGATATGGTTGTGTGTAGTCGGCCGTTACATCTGAACAAACCCAATGTTCACATTTGTTCCTTTACTTACCTTGTTA